ACAGCAGGATCAGTCTGCTAACTGAATGTGTAATGCAATCTGTCATTAGCATTCCCAGAGTTCCCTCTGCAAAACAAACTAGTTGTATCAGCTGTTGGTCCTGTCTGTAGTTATCTGTTATTTTCCCCACCTACTGTAACAGGGTGACAACCCTGATCATTCTGCAGGAACATTACACAGCAATGCGTTGTCACCCTGTACAGGGAAGTCTTAGATAGTTTATAAGTAAGACACACAACCAAGTAAAGCCCCAACTTCAGCTAACGCTCTCTACAGCAGTTACAGCAACCCTGGTTCTCTATAAGGTCCAACCCCCATATTGAATGACAACGAGACAGTTGTGGAGCACCCCCAGCAGTGTTATAGGATTTGCCCCAACCCCTCCAAACTGCCATTTTTCCCGAAATACTTGGCCTCTTCTACAGGAAGTAGACAAAAAAACCATCTACTGGCTGGGACAAACAAAAAGATAAAACAATGAGTAGGAGACTCAGAAAACAAAAACCTGCTCTGCTAATGACAGATTTCATTATTAATGTCATTAGATGATTTTTGCCCATAGTTACACTTTGGTGCAACGTTGTAATATGTATTTCCAGGGAGAAGAAGTTTTCTTTACAAACTTTCCACCAAAAAGAGATGTGTGCACTCAGAGTGATTATTGTGAACCCCAATCAGAGGAATGTCAGTCCCCGGAAGAAGTGGTAGGAATATGATCCAGCACACTCAGCACTTTGTAAGTTCAGATCTCTGGCAGTTGTATTGTGTGATTAGTCTATGGAGAGGAGTAATAGCTGGAAAGAGAAAACATGGAACAAGGATTTCTGATCTTCACTGATGGAATCCCATTTGGCAGAACCACATGGAACACAAGTGGCCAGCTGGGCTTACGTTTTACTGCTGAATACATCCCCTAAATCAGCAGTAACTCAGTATTGGAAGGCCTGCATCAGCTTGGGATGTTGTTTTCTCACTGAACAGAGACTTCTTTCTAGCTGGTGTCCTCAAGCCACAGACCTGCCTGAAAACGGTTGTCACCATGAGATGATATCCTACAACCTCACAAACACCCGCCTTTCCTCTCTATGATCACAATCTCATCACCTCCTTCAACAGTCTCCTCATCTTCAAACACTTATCCCTCCAATCAGCAATCACCTGCAGAAACCTTCACACAACTTGAAACCCTTCTCCTTCCACTCTGCAACTGACCAACTCTATGACAGAATCTCTCCCCTGTCCTGCCCTGACCTGGCCACTGCTGTCTACAACAGTTCACTTTCATCCACATTAGACTCACTTGCTCCTCTAACAACATGAAGCATCAGGCCCGCCCATTACAACCTTGGCAGACTGACAACACCAGAGATCTTAAACGACATAGTCGTGTGCTGGAGCGAATGTGGCGTAAAACCAAATCTCACCAAGCATTCACCCGATATAAAATCTGCTTTCTTTCACATACAATTCCTCCCTCCATGCTGCCAAACAAGCCTACTTTGTCACTCTCATCAATAGCTTGTCATCCAGTCCTCCTCGTCGTCTCTTCTCTATACTTCTAACTCTCAACTTTCTCCACCTCCACCCCAGTACCTCACTCACTGCTCACGAGATTGCAAATCAATTTCAAAACAAGATTGATGCAATTCGTAGGGGCCATCTCCACTGCACAGACATTCCATCGAGTTACCCACTTCTAGGCATCATCCCCCCCTAAACCTTCCCTCCCACTTCCCTTTTGACCTTTCCTACTTCCACAGAGACTCGTCACTAAGGTTTCCTCAGAAGCCCCGTCTCAAAAACCTGCCCCAGGGATCCTCCCCTCACAATCCCCCTCTTCTGTCCACTCCTTATGCTCCCTCAATCACATCTTCAATCTCTACTCTCTACGGTGCATCCCCTCTACCACTAAAGCATATGTCGCACTCCCATATGTAAATCCATCCCACCCTACGCCCCATACCTCCACTCCTTAACCTCCCTCAACACTTCCCCCATCACCATACTGGTGCCATACCCCTGAGGTCACATCTTTCATACTCACACACGCACTCACTACCCGCCCTAAAAAGCTCTCCCTGGAATCTGTCCCCTCACTGACAACTTATACCCATCCATCCCTGCTGCCATTTACCCCTCACTATCTTTAACATCTTAGAATCTTATCTACCCTTCACACTGAGCTCCACTCCACTCCTCACAAGACATGCGCAACCAATCACTCCCATTACTCTGGCGCTCCTTGGGCGCTGGACTCCCACCACCCAACCAATGGCCCACTGCCCTTAAGGACCCATCTCAATGGCCATCATACTCCCTTACTAAACTCCACATGCTTCAGTCTACAATACTCATCCTGAACTCCCACTGGCTCTTACCAAAAAACCAATGGCCAACTTATGCCCCTCTTACTCATCCCAACCAATCGCACTGCTCCGTAACTCATCCAAACTCAATGGCACAAACTGCCGTACTATCCCAACCAATTGGCCCCTACTGAACCAATGGGCACTATCTACTAACTGCCCAACCAATGGCCACTACTCCGTTACTCAATCCAAACCAATGGCCACTACTCCGTACTCATCCCAACCAATGGCCACTGCTCCGTACTCATCCCAACCAATGGCCACTACTCCGTACTCATCTCCAACCAATGGCCACTACTCCAGTTCACTCATCCCAACCAATGGCCACTACACCGTTACTCATCCCAACCAATGGCCACTACTCAGTACTCATCCCAACCAATGGCCAACTACTCAGTACTCTTACTACTTGACCTCTCTGCAGCTTTGATACAGTTGACCATCCCCTCCTCCTCAAAAAAACTCCACTACTCTTTGGCCTCCAAGACTCTGCTCTCTCCTGGTTCTCCTCCTACCTATCGCAGACTTGCTCCATCAGCAATCATTACCTATAACTCTGCCTCCTCCTCTTCACTCCCTTTTTCTGTAGGGGGTCCCTTCAAGGTTCTGTCCTTGGACCCCTACTCTTCTCCATCTACACCTCCTCCCTTTGTCACTTGATAAACTCCCATGGCTTTAATGTACCATCTCTATGCTAATGACACACAAATCTATCTTTCTACCCTCACCTCACCCCTTCAGTCTCCTCCTCACCTCTCTCTTCAGTCTTCTCTCGCATTACTAACCTACTAAGCGACATATCGGCATGGATGTCACTCCACTTCCTCAAACTCAATCTTTTTAAAACTGAGCTCTTAGTATTCCCCTCCAGCCTGTGCCCCCTCCCCCGACTTCTCCATCAAGATCAATAACAAAATCATCAGTCCCTCCCCTCATGCCAAGGTACTTGGTGTAATCCTAAACTCCCATCTGTCTTTTCAGTCCCCCAAATCCATCACTGTCCAAATCTTGTAGACTTCACCTCCGCAGCAGCTCCAAAGATATGGCCGTTCCTAACCTCGGAAACCAGTAAGCAACTTATTCATCACTCCCTTATATCTTGCCTTAACTATTGTAACTCCCCTCCTCATTGGCCGACCACATTGCAGGCTATCCCCTCTTCAGTCTATCATGAATGCTGCTGCCAGACTCATCCACCTTACTAACCATTCTGTATCAGCCACCCCCTCTCTGCCAATCCCTCCACTGGCCTTCACTCAGTGTCCTCCACCCCTCTCTGCCAATCCCTCCACTGGCCTCCATTCAGTGTCCTCCACCCCCCTCTGCCAATCCCTTCACTGGCCTCCATTCAGTGTCCTCCACCCCCCTTCTCTGCCAATCCCTCTCTCACTGGCTTCCCATTGCCCAATGGATAAAATTCAAAACATTAACAATAACATGTAATTTGGGGCAGAGTTATAAATGACTTTATATCACCAATATTGTCTCCAATTCCATCACCCAAAAACCGTACTCTCCTGCTCCTCACATGACCAATCCACCTGCTCTCTATAGCTCCCTTGTCTCCTCCTCCCATGCTCATCTCCAAGCTTCCCCCATCCTTCTGGAATACTGCTCTACCTCCCAATTTATCAGACTATCGCCTACTCTGCTCACTTTTAGGCGATCTCTCTGAAAACCGATCTCTTCAGGGAAGCCTATCCATGCCCTCAGCTAATAATGTCCTCCAATCTTCTAACTCTTCCAGCCAGTCCATCCCACACAGTTACTACCATTTTGTACCACTACCCCCTCCCTCCTAGATTGTGCTAAGCTCCTCCTATCCTTCTTGTATTTAACTTTATTGTGTGCTGTAATGTCTTCCGTTATATTGTAAAGCGCTGAGTTCAAACTGTTGGTGCAAGCTATATAAATCCTGTATAATAATAAATATGAGAGGAGATGAAATGTGGAAAGAAAGCATTGATAATGGGAGAGTAGATGGAACATGTAATGGGACGAGGAATCACGGACAAGGTGGGCTTAGCTGGAGACCTCAAGCCTGGCTGATCATGTATATCAATAGTCAGAAGAACCTGGAATGGACTCTCCCACTGAGGCTTCAGAGACTTGGTAAGATGACAATAGACCCCATCCTAGTCTCTGGTACTGAGGCATCCACCATGCTGGTCATGTATTACTTCAGGATCCAGAAATGAAGAAAATGCTCTGGAAACACAACTCAGTTGGTGAATTATGAAAATGCATTGCATGTTCATTCAAAAGCTCCATAAAAAAGATAAAGATGAGAAATCATGAGGGAAGCTGTTCAGTTATTGATGCTTATCTTAAAAAATTTGTCAAAAGATAAAAAATATTAAAATCCCTCTAGTTGTGCTTGATGGAGATAAGCACTAAACTCAGTTCATCAAATCATGCATTCCAGTTTGCTCAGATTTTAGTTATGTTTCTTTTAAGTAACGGTAAATTTTTTCTTCTCCTTCTTCTCTAGCTTGTGGGATGACATTGGAGATGTAAACTAACTTGTGTACACCTGAAACTTCTTTATATATCTCTTTTCTTCCAGAATTTAATCAATGCAAGAAATTTGTGAATCCTCCCGTAGGGATTAGATTAGACCAGCATTAGCTGTTAAAGTATTTGTATCCACATTGAGAGCATTAAAAGGATTTCTCTCCGTGTGAACCCTCTGGTGTCTGATAATATTTGACTTCTGTGTAAAAGCATTATCCTACATTTCAGGACACTGATATGACTTCCCTCCACTGTGAATCCTCTGGTGTCTGATAAGACTTGATACTTCTGTGTAAAAGCTTTATCACATTCAGAACATCTGATTAACTGACTTCTCTCCTCGCGTATGTGAATCCACTGGTTTTGTCTGTGATTATAAGATGTGACTTCAAGTAAAAGCTTTATCACATTCAGAACACTGATATGGCTTCTCTCCAGTGTGAACCCTCTGGTGTTTGAGAAGATCTGACTTCTGTGGAAATAAGCTTTATCACATTCAGAACACTGATATGACTTTCTTTCCATTGTGAATCCTCTGGTGTGTGATAAGATGCGACTTCTTATGTAAAAGCTTTGTGACATTCAGAACACGATAATGGCGTTCTCTCCAGTGTGAATCCTCTGGTGTGTGATAAGATGTGACTTCACTGTAAAAGCTTTATCACATTCAGAACACTGATTATATCTCTCCAGTGTGAATCCTCTGGTGTTTGAGAAGATTTGACTTCTGTGTAAAAGCTTTATCACATTCAGAACACTGATATGACTTCTTTCCAGTGTGAATCCTCTGGTGTGTGATAAGATGTGACTACTTGTGTAAATGCTTTGTGACATTCAGAACACTGAGTGATGGCTTTCTCTCCAGTGTGAACCCTCTGGTGGTGTGATAAGACGTGACTTCACTGTAAAAGCTTTATCACATTCTTGAGAAACACTGATATGGCTAACTCTCCAGTGTGAACAATCTGGTGTTGTGAGAAAGATTTGACTTCTGTGTAAAGAGCTTTATCACATTCAGAACACTGATATGACTTCTCTCCAGTGTGAATCCTCTGGTGTCTGATAAGATATGACTTCACTGTAAAAGCTTTATCACATTCAGAACACTGATATAATCTCTCCAGTGTGAATCCTCTGGTGTAGTAATGATAAGATGTGACTTCACTGTAAAAGCTTTATCACATTCAGAACACTGATATGACTTCTCTCCAGTGTGAATCCTCTGGTGTGTGATAAGATGTGACTTCTGTGTAAAAGCTTTGTGACATTCAGAACACTAGGATATGGCTTCTCTCCAGTGTGAATCCTCTGATGTGTGTGATAAGATGTGACTTCACTGTAAAAGCTTTGTCACATTCAGAAACACTGATATGGCTTCTCTCCAGTGTGAACAATCTGGTGTGTGATAAGACTTGACATCTGTGTGTAAAAGCTTTATCACATTCAGAACACTGATATGGCGTCTCTCCAGTGTGAACAATCTGGTGTGTGATAAGATTGACTTTTGTGTAAAAGCTTTATCACATTCAGAACATTTGATATGGCTTCTCTCCAGTAATGAACTCTTTGGTGTACTATAAGCCGCTCTTGCGTGTAAAAAATTTTGTCACAGTCAGAACAATGATTATGACTTCCATCCATTGTGAACCTTCTGGGGTGTGGGATATTATTTTCTCTCACCATTGTAAAATCTCCAAAACAAGAAGTAGTTATAAGAAATGACTCCTCTTATGTATACGTGGGTTGGACTTTATTGTAAAGCCATTGTCACTTCCCAGAACACTGAAATTACTTTTCTCCTGCTGGATCAATGTGGAAAGAGGATCCAAACCATGACTTTTTAAACACAGATATGACTTTGTATCCCGTGTGAAATCCTCCACTGAACTGCAATAAAGATATTCAGTCAATTTAAGACATCGATATGTCTTATTTTCCATGTGACGACTCAGCTGTATTCATGAAGATCAACATGAGTCCAAAAACTTGGTTCATCAATCTACCTGTAGAGAAAGAAAAAAGGTAGAATTCTATATAAAGGGCTACATAAAGTTGCTTTCTATTTTTAAGATGTTCATTACTAAATATATCTTAGGAATAGAAAGAATATGTACAGCATTATCTACAGTATTTTTTTTAATCAAATAGATTTTATTAAATAAAGTTTATAAGTGCGCACAGTATTCCCAACATTCAGCCCAGACAATGGAGTCATACATTCTCACGTATAGGCAGTTGTGGCACTGTTACAGATCATACAGAACAATAACTTGCTTTGTTTATGGTGTCACTTTTTACCTTTTATAAACAAATGAACAGAGAAAAGAAGAAACAACCTAAAACAATTCAGCTGTACACGGCAAGTAACTCCCCCCAGTAAATACATAGATAGCTGACACCGATCAATGAGGCTGTGTCTTACAGGATCATACCCAAGTAGTATGGGTCTCCATTCAGTAGGATACAACTGGCCGTTCTCCTTCTATGGGGCTAAAAAGAACTAAGATTTTAAAAGCCTATGAAGAACTAACTAGGAGTGAGAAGGAGTATCAGCCAGTTCTGCCAGACATACATCTCCTGGGGGAATTACAATGTTGGTAAGTTCGTTTTTTTCACATGTTAATGTGGAGATCACCTGCTCAATCCACTGTTGTCTGCTGGGAGTTTGAGATGATAGCCAAGATCGGGATATTTTTTATGGTCAATAAACAGCAGCCTCACTATTGCTCTATGACTGTCCATCCATCCGACTGTCGCCTTCCCCTCCCCCACATTCAGGCGCTCCCTCAAAACCCATCTCTTCAGGGAAGCCTACCCCACCCTCACCTAACGGCCATTCTCCCTCATTCCTCCCACCACTTCATACCCCCTCAGCCACTTCCTACTGTTCCACTACCCCCTCCCTCCTAGATTGTAAGCTTGAAAGAGTAGGGCCTCTTCCCCCTCGTATGCTGTCTGTTTTTGTTGTACTGTGCTATGTATTGCCCCCCCTATTGTACAGCGCTAAGCAAACCCTTTGGCGCTATATAAACCTGATGTAATAATAATAATAATAATAACTTGTAATAGGAGGAGGTGTAAATAATTCCTCCTCTATTGACACCAAGAGGCACACCCGAGGAATATTGAACACCAACATTATAATGCTGGTCATATCGTTCCACATTTTGAATAATTTTGGACATCTCCAAAACATGTGTATCAAATCCCCGACAACACCCGCTACAATTGGGGTCATAAGGGAAATCCCTCCTGCCATAGAACTGAACAATTTGAGCTGGAGTCCTGAAAGCTCTATGCAAAAGAAATGACTGAGTTTCTGTAGAAGTAGAGACAGAGAGATGAGAGGTATTGGAGGATCACAATCACCTCCCCAGCACTCTCTCTCTCATTATTCTCTGTTTTCCCATTTCTTTTCTATAATCTTCGGTAAGAGTCAAAAGACTGGGAATAAATATAGTGAGAGATCAATGCCATTTACCGTCGGTTGCCATGATCTGAAGCCCATTATAACAAGTGTGAGAG